GGAGGAAGCGGAGGAACTTGGCAGCCAAAAGATGAACGAGGAGTTCAAGAGAGTCAAGTGATGTTTGACAAAATGGTTGATGATGCTTCCGACAAAGCGCGGAGTATTTTGCTGGAAGAAAGAAGACCGCGTCAGGAAATCGAGACCGAATGGCAAGAACAAAAAGCCGATCTTGAAGAAGATCTTCGAAAGGCATCAGAAACACATGAACTGTTGCAGGAACAGCTTGATGAGTTGATCGCCCATCGAGAAACCGACGGAGCCCGCTGGCCGTGAGGCCGAGGGTCAAAGTGTTTGTCGAACGTGAGATCAGACAGACCTTGGAAGGCGCCAGGACCACTATAGGCGCCCCGCCACCAAGGGTAGATGGTGGCTGATTGTTGCCACTGCGCTTTTCAGGACCAAGTGAGTACGCGAAACTTCTCGCTGGCTAGGTGTCTTCTGGGCAGCTCTGCGTCGACTTTCATCGGCAGCAGCTTGGGTCTTATCTGCAACAGCAGAAGAGTTGACTGGAACGTTGACCCCGTTCGATGCTCTTTTGTGGACCGATCCTGATCGAGCCGACAACACCACAGGGAAGGTTTCGCCAACCTCAAATTAAGTTAGCGTTTTTTGGGGTACCAAACCCGGCCAGGTTTCGCGTGGAGAGGGGAGTATACTTGGTCACAAAGCTTGAAGCCTTTGACTATCACCTTGAGGATGGTAGCGATTGGAAGTGTCCTCAGATACTCTTGCGCGTTGAAAGCCAGGGCCGACGGCCTTGAACCAAGCCGGAGCCTGTGACTCCACCTCTTCCTGAACCAATCATTCCGCAAGAGAAGGAGTTCGAATATTCTGCAGGCATTGCGCCAGGGCGAAGCGCCGCCTGCTACTGAGGAGCCACCTGCTGGCGCGGAACTCAAGCGCGGAACCCTCGGTCCGGATGAACTCTTTCCGGATGGGGCGCCACGTGGCATCCCCTTGCAACTATGGAAATGATCGTGAGTTCTCGACGTCGCTCCACTCAGCTGCTAGCCAGCGCGAAGGAAGGAAAAACAAATTGAAGTATGAGACTTACGCCGTTCCCTGCATGACTAGAACCAGCGGGGTGGTCAAGGAGACACACCGACAACCACTCACGCGGCTCACGCGAAATCACATCAAACAACTAGACTTCAAAGAAGGCGTCGAAATGTGGGGTGTTGATCGCCAAGAAGGAACAGATCGCTAAGACGCCAAAGGCACAAGCGGCTCTAGATTTAGAATGGAACTTTTCGCCTGTGCAGACTTTGCGCGCGAACATGATTCCAAGTCGACCTCTGGCGCAACGATGAGTCTGCTGGGACCGAACTCATATTCCTACTGCAAGAAGCAGACGGTTTGCCAACGCTCGCACTGTTTGAGCAACACTCTTTTCAAGCAGGCGCCCGATGCAGCTGCACGCCTCGCGGCGTTGCCCAAGCAAGAGTGCATCTCACCGATTGTCAATTCCGATCTGAAGGGTCGCGACAAGAATGAAAGCCGCACCCTCAGCTGGTTCAAGGCAATCGTCCACATCCACTATACTGCCAGTTTGCTCGTTCCCCTTGCAGGAGCAGATCCAGCGCCTCAGTTGCAGTGGCTGGTCTCCAGAACGCCACGGCCATGAACCGGACGTATCAAGCAGCGACCGGTTCTAGTTCCAGGTTCATCCAAAACGCATCATATTTATTCGCCTTCATGCAGGATGCTGGACCAGGCCTCTTGAACTTCCGCGGAACCGGTGTGCCCTCTCACAGATGCCACGCTGCTCTCAAAGGAATTCGGCGATGGTTTGTTGGTAGGCGGGGGAGCCCGAAGGTGCGCGCGTTTATTATATTGCCCGAAACCGGTGGCTGAACCCAATCAAGATCACTGTTGCTATTGCTCTGCGAGAAGCAGCTGGTGTAGCCGACGGGATCATCTGCTTCACCACGAAGACCGGAGAAATTATCCTTTGTTCATAATATCCCAAGCGCTTATATCGTTCTCATCAAGGACACTGAGAAGGAATGGCCCTGTGGACTCGGAGCAACCCTTTCACCCAAGCGCAGCGGCAGCGATCCAACTTCAACATCATTGCAATCTGAGCTCATGCCGAGAGAGCCTGATGGGCCAGAGGAGGAGGATGATGCCAGATTCAAAGGAAACGCCCCTACGTCGACTGTGATGTGTCCTGGCTGCGGCGCAGATCTGGTGACTCATGGTACGACAATTGTAGCAGCGCCTTTATGCAGATGCTTCTCTCCCAAGGACGACCAAGGACGAGAGCTACTTGCTCTGTTGGGTACCAGAAGTTGAATGCCTTGACGATTGTCACACTCCGCAAGAAACATGCCCGTGGTCAGCAGAGCCCAGTGGCCCAGAAGCGGAACTCATTGAGAATTCCGGCGGCGAAACAAGAGAGCTGCAGGCCTCGGATACGCGTCCCTCGTCGATCGGAATGAACATGACGTTGAGTTCATCAAGAGGATGACGCAGCACGGGCTTTCAGTGACGTCCAAGTGAGATATTCTCGGCCATGGACACGCGGACGCTGCCCTCGCCGCAGGCAAGGCCCTTGAGCTGCAATTCTGCGAGCAATGGCTGGTGATGTGGCGGCGCGACGCCTATACAGCCTCAGTGATTTCATGGAGCTATGTTTGGCCCACATGGTTAGGGGTGACCGTCTACGGCATCGTTGAGCGCTAGATGAAGCGGCGCGCAAGTCCTATCACGCAGCTACCAGGGGTCAGGGCAAAGAAGATCCAGAGTGACAGGGCTCATCAAAGGAATGTGGCAAAAACCTCGCCGAAAGCGGGTGGAATCAATGCCAACGTCAATGCAATCGGCACCTTTGATATGAAAGTGAAATGCCCAGTGCCAAGTTCCCGCCAAAGGTGCCCACGATTGCTGCTCCAATGCCGCCGGCGAAAGCTCCGCCAGTCGAACTGAAGCAGTGATGCACGAGAGGGCGCTCAAGCCCATGCTCCTCGTCACGAAAAGCAATGGGGGCGATTTGAGGCGTGGCGTGGAGAGGGTGGGCCCGCGATTCGTATGGGCGGTGGTGCAATTAAATGCCACTCATGGTGTGCATAGCGCTGCTGCAGGCACGTCGCTAGCTTTGCAGCATTGCAATCTTTTAAAAGTCAGCTATACTGCTGACCAACGCGCTGTTATCGTAGAGGGGGGTGTTAAAATACATCCGCATAGAACCAATTTACCTGTTATGAAGCGTTGCGAGTAGTTACGTAGCCTAACGGTTTACGACTGAAAATGCACATTTCAAAGGCTTCGCCCCTGTCAATTGTTCAGAAAGGCGCGGTCTTTTCCTTTTCTTGTCGGAGGATCCTGAGCGTGGGTGCCGGCCCGATGGTTTTAGAGAGCCGGGATCGGTGCAGACGCTGAGCATCTCGGATTGAACTCTATTCTTTTCAGGCACTCTGAGATTCGGTTCTGCAGTTTGGCCCAGCAATCTGGAAAAATGGAAGATGCTCAGCTGAACACTACTCAACGCCGTGAGATTCCGTGATCCAGTTTAAGTGTTAGCCGCCGCCAGCATGTTTTGCGACTTCTTGCTTCCTCCACAAAAACTCTAGTCTAGGTGGATCAACGTAATCAAATTGTGAACCTGATTTCTGGGCACAGGCGACGTCAAGGAGTTCAACAGGTGATCACAAGTCAACATAGAGTTTCAGTATCCCGGTTTTGCGGAGATCTTCAGACGAGGACGTCATTAAGACACGCAATTCTTCGTCGATTTCGGTCATGAGTGACTGAGGCGACTTGTGTCGACCGTGAAAAGATGTTGAGCGATCGGCCTTGTGGGCTCGTTTGGGCCCAGGATGGGGCCCGTAAAGAGCCTTCCACCTGGTCGGCCGAGGGTCGCTGTGGTGGCAAGCGGCAAGCGGCAAGCGCAAGCGGGGTGCAGCGTCAATGGAGAACGCCTTGAGAAAGCTTTGACGTGGTCTCCACTTGGGGATATATAACTGAATAACTGAGGACACCTAGCGAAGTAGTGAAGTTCGCAAGATGATTTGGGATGCATCCTTCGGAGAATGTGTGCGCAGATTGTGAAACCCATTTCCTGACCCACAAGCACCATTCGCTGGAGATGTTATTCAGCTTTTTGTTTGAGACTGTGGTGCGGGGCCTTTTCTTGAGCCAATTGGTACGCTTCTCAATTTGTGTGAAAAAAAACTCAGGGGCCATGCTAATCACACTCCCCCTGCTCCGCTTCGGATGCATTCCACGACCGATGAAGTTCTTTTTCTTCCTCGTCAGCCTTCCAAAATTTCAATTCACTGTCCAGATCCTGCACTTTGGAGTCCGATCGGACAGTTGAACTCACTCACACAGGCCTGAGCTGCGGTCTTGTTGGATGGACCGTCGCAGTGAGGTGGGCGCTCACAGATAGGCCTTCTTCTGGCCAGGGCGCTTCCACCGCAGTCGACCTGCAGGTCTCTCTATTGTGTGGAGCCAATCCACTACCCCTTGGTGCTTCCCAAGAAGGACTTGACCCTACTGATGCAGAACCCCCAACTGCAACCGAACTGGAAATGGACTGGTTTGCTGGGAGCCTTCACTTTGCTCCGGCTGCTGGCTGCATCCCAATTAATTCGTTCATTGCGCACTGTCGTGTTCCCGCTCTCGCTTTTCACTTCAGCGTTGCACATCCCAACCGCGTGCACTTCCTGTACCACTGGTGTTTCTGCAAAAGCAATGAAGTTGCCCAAAAGATGAAGCGAAGTGTTTTGCTCGTGGTTTTGCAACCAACGCCCCACACTTTTTGCAGAAAACACAAAAACACAAAAGTGCACAGTGAGCTTTCGCACCCTCTTTGATGCACGTTTCTTTGGCACGAAACATGATACTGCGCCAAACGCCAGAATATGAGTCAGAACTGATCCGACACTCACAGATATGTCACGAAATTTTGTAGACTTTATAGAACTCGACAATGGAGAATTTGCTCGAATTCGGTTGGCCTGCTTGACACCTGGCTCTTTTGATCGTGGTGAGAGGAGGCACAAAGCACTGAGACAGAGACGCCCAATTTGCACATCTCTCGTTCTGGTGGTGCCCTGGAGATTGAAGACGAGTACTATCAGCGAAACACTCAGATGATCGATCTTTTTTGATCACCGATTTTGTTTGGAAACAGTTGAAGTTCATGAAGACCTACAGTTGTGACCAAGGGCAGCTGCTTGAGCATTCAGCTGATATGCATGCGAGTCGCAGATTGGCCTATCGCCTCAAAGATGCACTGCTTCCAGTGTTGGTGCTGTCAAAATTTAAGATGGCCCAGCCTTGGCAGCTGCGGACTCACCGAGCGCATGGTTTCGGTTCCGAATCTGTACAAATGTAGGAACTCGATCAGCGATCGGTGTCAATCCCCAATGAAAATAGTTGCAATGGGCTTGGCGGCTCAAGTGCCGGAGAGCTTGATCCTGCCAAGTGCTGTGAGTGCTGTGAGTTTGGAGTGTCCAAACTGATTTGCGCAGCTTGCAATGTTCAAGAGCATAAGTTATAGTGCTGAGTTCAGTTAGAACAATGTAGAGAGTTGCAATGCCATGTCTTCAAAAGCCTCCAGCGCCTCAGTATCAATCAAAGCCTGTGGTCATACTGGCGGAAACTGTTTGGTTGCGGAGCTGGACTTTGATGAGGGTGAGGCAGAGCTGGACCATTTTTGTCAACACTGACAAACTCTTTGTATTTATGTCTATCTAAGCTTCTCTGTCAATGGGGAAACCCCCACAACATTGGTTTTAGTCTTCCTGATCATTCACCTAAGGCTCCTGACCCCGGTTCTTCATGACAGGTGCGGCATCCTCAATTAACCGACTATTCAAAGGTCGAACAGACAAGTTCGACAAGGCAGTATTTTCCTTCATGTTTTTCACTCATCTCAGAATTCTAGGGGGAAAACACGGTGCTCATGTCATGTGTTTGCGAAAGAAACGCACCTTTTGTCCTCACTGTGCAACTTGACATCCGCGAGTACACAGACCCCACTGTTGCGACCCCATCACAGACCAGCCCAGCCCCTCCCATAGCTGGCAGGTTGTTCTCGAAGAGACTCCGCTGCTGGAAATGCCTGGGTCTCAAGGTTGGACAAACCAAATCGTGGCGGCGGAGCCATCGGATATCTAAGGCTGGACACGGAGGTGTTGGCCTTTCGACACTCTTCACATTATGCTGCGGTTTGGTCGTTCGCTCAAGAGTGCGTTGGCCAGGACGGCAGAGTCGTTCGCTTGATGTGATGCTTTGTATTGCTTTGTCCTTGAGTTTCATTAGATACAACATGTCATTAGTTTCTTTTATGCTTTCAGGGGCTCCTGGCATCGCTACTAGGAGCAAGGACGCTACTAGGGGCTCCTGGCCGTACTACTAGGAACAAGAAGCTACTAGGAACAAGGGCATTACTGTTCACCAAAAAACGAATCCCATGAAACATGACAAACATACCGCGAGGAGAAGATAGCGATGCTCTTGTCCTTAGGACTCTCTGAGGGCGCTGCAAGCAGCTGCAAGGCCGAAGATCTGAAGCGTGCTTTGGAGGCAGAGGTGGGACTTGGGACATCTTGGAATCTTGGGACACGAGATGACGAGAAACCGAAGAGTGAGGATCAAGCAGGCCACATTGGGTAGTGAATAAGGCATGTCATCCGCAAGTAACTGGGTGGCGAAAGCAACTGGTTTGGCACAAGTACCCGCAAGGTGCCATGCTCACAGAATGATGATGCTTTACGCTTTCTGGTGACTCAGCTTCAAGCTGGCATCTTTGCAGCTCAAGCAGCTGTGCACCTTAAGGTCATTCTGATGTCGAACTCCTTCCGGTTCAAGGGTGCAGCTCTGAGAACCAGACTTGGCATTTGCTTATGTTCCAGATTGTGGAACTAGACGTAGGCAGACACTGTGTCCGATTTAAGGAGTCAATGGAAAGACTACTGCATTGTTCGAGATCATGTCACGCGCGAATCATTCCTGTGATCCGAATGTGCGGATGATTGGTGATGGATGGCCTGGGCAACTCATTGCAGTTCGCCCCATTCAAGCTCAGGACCGGGTTGGGCAGCGAGCAAAACAGTGGCGATCGTTTTGGTTTCCTTTTTTGTCAGCAGCAGAGCGCTTAGCTTTTTGGACACCGGTCTGTTCGAAGGAGGAAATTCTTCTGTGCTATGGTGGATGGGACACCGAATTTTTGAAGGAGCCGTCGACAGCCAGGCAAAAGTACTTGTCGGAGCATTGGGGCTTTCAGTGCAAGTGCGTGCGTTGCGAAAGAGAAGCCAGCATACGAACAAGCTGAAGTATCTGCTCCACACAGGTGGAATGAATGCTCAGAGGCCCCAGCACTCGAGGTTCGCATCTTCCAGGGCAACAGAAGTGCCAAAGGTTAGCCGTCAACATCTTGCGGGTCTTCGAAGCAGCTCACCTCGGTTCCAAGGGCGGACAGACTTCGGCTTGAGTCTGGGCAAAGCTCCAACAAGGTGGTGCCTCCAACTGCCCTTGCATGCCCTTGCGGTTTGGCAAACTTTTTTCCCCGGCGAAAAGGACATATGAGACCGATAGAAGAAAAATGAAGAAAATGGGTGCTCACATCGTATTCTGTTGTGCGACAAATGGATTTGGAGGACCAACATGTTCAAACATATTCAATGTTTGCATTGATTGTTCAGGGCATCGCTGTTTGGCGACGATAGCGACGATGATTTATTTAAATCCAAAAGCTAACCAAAACTCTTTAATAATTTTAATACAAAAATACCCATATATTGTATATATATATATATATATTTACACGATACTATTATTTTATAAAACGGTAATCCTTCGACCTATTACGCATATTTTATCGGAAATTCGATACGAGGCCGAAACTCCAAATCTTTCCGAGAATTTTGGACGAATCGTTTAATTACGGAGATTTGGAGATTCTTGAAGTCCGAAGATTTTTGGATTTTAGTTTTGAATAGTCGTACGAATTTCTTTCGAAATTTGGAGATTTTATTTCTGAGAATAATACGATATTTTTTCGAAATACGGACATATTATAACATATTGGATTTTATGGATTTTAAAATCTTTAATAATTTTGATTTTTTGGATTTAATTATTATAACGAATATTATTAGAATATATTTGACACTCTTAAATTTCTTAATGAATGATATTTTTCGTTGCAATTTGGAATAAAGGGAATATATATAACATATATGTTGATAATTCTGGTAAATTTGGGATTTGGTGATGTTAAGGTATTTATATTAAAATGAGGTAGAAAAAACAAATTTTTCTTTAATTTTTTAAATAATAGTGTGGTGAGTGAGAGTGGGTGCGTGTGCGAGTGAGTATTAGTTTTGGTGAACGTGAATGAATGGAATTGATTGCGAAGGTTTGTGAATGCGGAGGTTTAATAAATGGGAATGGATTTAAAAATGAATGGGAATAAATGAGTGTCGTTTAAAAACCCATTTCTTCCTTGTTAATAATCGAATTTTAAAGTTCTTATTGCAATCGCGAAAGGTTTACGAAGGTCTTGCGAAAGGTTTGCGTAAGTCATATTAATAATTTGGCTACGTTGTGAGATTAATTGCTCTTTGGACTTCCGATTGCTTTTTTCCGGATTGGGATGGAAATTTGAATTATTTTTTTTTTTTCCCGGCCCGGGAAAAAGCAAATTGGGAGTCTGAGCTTTTTGTTTGTTCTAGGTCTAAATTGGAAATCTGAACCATTTTGCTCTAATTGGAAATTTGAGCAAATTGGCCTGATTGAGCCGTCTTTTGTTTATGGAGGGCTGCGTTTAAAATACACCAAAATGAAAATGACTTGGTTGGAAGTCTTGACCATTTTGTTTTTTCCTAATCCGGGAAAAAACAAATTGAAAATCTAAACTATTTTGCTTTTTCCCGGGCCGGGAAAAAAAACATTAGAAATTTGAGTAAATTGGCCTGATTGAGCCGTTTCTTGTTTATGGAGGGTTGGGCCCAACTAAAAATATAGCAAAATCTAAATGGTTTGGGCCTAATCCGGGAAAAAACAAATTGAAAGTCTAGATCATTTTGCTTTTTCCCAGAGCAAATTGGCCTGATTGAGTCGTTTCTTATTTATAAAGGGTTGGGCCCAACCAAAACCACAGAAAAATGAAAATGGTTTGGTTGGAAATCTTGATCATTTTATTATTTGCTTTTGGAAGTCTGAACCATTTTGCTTTTTCCCTGGCCAATTGGAACTCTGAGCCTTTTATTTTTTCCCGGCCCGGTAAAAAAGCAAATCGGAAATTTGAACCATTTTACTTTTTCCCGGCCCGGAAAAAAACAAATTGGAAGTCTGGGCCTTTTGCTTCTTCCAGGCCCGGCAAAAAGCAAATTGGAAGTCTGGACCATTTTGCTTTTTGCCGGCCCGGGAAAAAGCAAAAATATTCCCGGCCCGGGAAAAAGCAAATTAGAAATCTGAACTTTTTTGCTTTTTCCCGTCCTGGGAAAAAGCAAATTGGAAGTCTAAACCTTTTGTTGTTTTTTTCCGGGCCCAGGAAAATGTAAATTGGAAGTCTGATATATTTCCAATTGCTTTTTCCCGGTCCGTGGAAACTTCTTTGTCGTGGTAAACTTCTTTGTCGTGGAAACTTCTTTGTCTATGACGAAAGGTTTGTATTGTGGACGCGAAAAACGACAGGGCCAAATCCCACCCCACCTCAGACTTCCCATTTGCTTTTTCCAGGGCTGGCTCAGACTTCCAATTTGCTTTTGGCCGGGCGGGGAAAAAACAAAACGGTTCAGACATCCAATTTGCTTTTTCCGGGCTTGGAAAAAGCAAAATGGTTCAGAGTTCCAGTTTGTTTTTTCCCGGCCAAAAGGGTTCAGACTTCCGATTTGCTTTGTCCGGGCCTGGAAAAAGCAAAAGGCTTAGACTTCCAATCTTCCAATTTGCTTTTTCCCGGGCCGGGAAAAAGCAAAATGGTTCAGACATCCAATTTGCTTTTTCCCGGGCCTGGAAAAAGCAAAAGGCTCAGACTTCCAATTTGCTGTTTCCCGGGCCGGGAAAAAGCAAAATGGTTCAGACATCCAATTTGCTTTTTCCCGGGACTGGAAAAAACAAAAGGCTGAACCATTTTGGTTTTTCCCGGGCCGGGAAAAAGCAAATTGGAAGTCTGGCCATTTTGCTTTTTCCCGGCCCGGGAAAAAGCAAATTGGAAGTCTGAGTAAACTGGCCTGACTGAGCCGTCTCTTGTTCATGGAGGGTTGCGCCCAACTAAAAACACACCAACGTGAAAATGTCTTGGTTGGTTGGCTTCCTATTCCTCAGCAATCAATGTGTCAGTGATTAGAGGACACAAGACGTGCCAGGGCAACTGCATGAATCTTTGAAAGCCTCTAGCCCCAACGAAGAACCATTTTCGCCGACAGTGGTAAAACCCCACGCGCGAAAGCTTGCGAAAGCTTCGCGAAGGTCCTGCGAAAGGCCTGGAAAAAATGAAAGGACTTTTGAACAACCCCCAAATGAATGAGAGAGAATGAATATTAAAAATTGTAAATGGATATAAAAGAATTGAAATAGAAGAAATATAAAAATTAATATGGATATACGAATGATTTATATATATATATATTTTTTTTTAAAACTATATATATTGGAATTGAATATTTTTTATTTTGAAATCTATATATATTAATATTTAGAAAGATCTATGTAATATAAATCTATATTTGATTTAATATATATATATATACATATATATTATCCGGAGAATATTTTATTCGTTCGTATTGGATTATGGAATTTGATATTAATTGTTTTTTTTGGTTATTTTTGGGACGGTATATTTTTTATTCTATGACGGTTAAAATATTTTGATAACTATTATAATTTTATGATATAAAATTACTAGCGGCTTAATCTATTAATAATTATGTCTTTTGGATTTGGGGAAAGGTAAGGTATTGATTAATTTTAAATTTTATGATAATCGATTAATTAAAGATATAAATAACTAAATATATGTATATATATTTATTGATTTTTAAATACGATTTAGATATTTAATGTAATAAAATTTACGATTAACAATATTTTATGTGAACTGAGAAATATACGATAATCTGTAATTAACAAATAATATAAATGATCTTGTAATTAAAATTGGAAAGATTGGAAAATATTTTATTTGGAGATATATGGAATATGGGCTGCATAATGCATTGATGAATGATTGATTGTTATTTCAATTATATATGAGTTTCTGCAACATAATATAATTAATTGGTATCTTCCTAAGTATGATGTGGATAGAGTTGTGTTACGATCTTTGATGTTGTGAATAAGGTGAAATTCCAAACCCAACGGCTAACGATTAAGCTGAAACGTTTTTCGAAACATGACATCACGAAGATATTTTATGAATTCTTTTGTTGTTGTGCAAAAGCATTGTAAGAAGAAAATCAGATATGAAATTTAATATCTAAATATATATCTCGGCATGGATCCAATGGCCCTGTATTATAATTTTGTAGCATACGGGTCAGAGGCATTTGTCATGCATCTTAAATTTTAATAATGAAACGTTCCGTCATTGCCTGTGCCCACATTTGTGCCTGTAGCATGCTATTGAGGTAATAAATGGTTCTATTCGACTCCAAAGCATGAGTTCGAAGCCATCCTGTTCGAGATTGCGACCGCTAATGGTGATCTCTGAAGGCTAGCAGAACTGATTCGAGGGAGAATCAATTGGGTGATTCCATTATTTACCAATCGTTGCATATGGCTGAACAATTTGTTGGCCTCCATTATTCGAAATGAAAATCGAATTTCCAAGGATTAAACTAAAATCGAGCTTCCAAGGATTTGCAACCGCTACGTCCTGTGGCAGGGATTCCTGCTTCAGCGGACGTAGTGCAGCAAAGCGATGCGCCAACAGCGGATTCTGATTCAAGGCAAGGATTCGTTGCAGAATCTGACCGATCTCCTGGGAATTGATCGGCTTTTGCTTCGTCGGCCTCAAGGTCTGGGCCCATTGACGATCGGGTGGTGAGAACCCCGTGTGCAACCAAGGTCTGCACTAACTCGTCGTCGCTTTGATCCAATCTCAATTTCCCAATCTGATCGATCAAGGTCTTCACAAGCTCCTGGAACAAGGTCTGTCGGAATGACATGGTGGCCTCCCTTGCTTGCTTTCTGAAGATTCCAAATTCGAGAATGCTCCAATATCTGTGGCATCAAGCTTCCACGGCCACATTGAGCAAAAAACAGAAAGGATCGATCCAAATTCATCTCGTTGAGCAAATCCTCTTGGCGAAGAGAAAATTTGACCAT